ACCGATGAGATTTTGCAAATTTTATGCGTTTTTTTTTTTAAAAAAGTTATCAAGCTCTTAAAAAATCACCCGATACATATGTACACGTGTATAAATGAGTATGTCACTGCCGACAATTTTATCGTCGCGACTACGACAGGCATCCACCTAAGCGCGAAGACTTAACGTCATCGTCGGAGAATGCACGGACATACCTATGTGCTTGTGTATGTACATATGTATGTTTAATACACCTGTACAACAGAAGAAAAAAATCACACTACCAAAAAATGTTTAGTGTATTTTGGCAACACGGCAATTATCCCCTACACTTTCAGCGTGACCTCCTACACGGGTGTATATTACACATATATTTATATATAACGGCTCATATGTGTACATGTATGCGTGGGTTGAATTTGACTACATACCCACCCTGAATAGCTTGGAATCCACCGTGGTGGGTGTTTAATTCATCGAAGCGTTAGAAATCGGCGGGGTTTCCAAGGTTCATCGAAGTGATGCGATTTAAATGCAGCAAAGCATGAACTTTGCAAGGTAACAAAAGCAACAAAAAACTGAATGGAAAATATGCTGTCACATGCAGGGACACTTTCATTCACGTTCGTTTTTAAATAAACTTTCAGTACGTAAAAATATTGTATGGTATGAAAGCTTGGAATATACATATAAACGTTCCATACAGAAACATTACTCTCGAAGTTTATTAAGCCTTTTTTTTGCGTGACTTTAAATACTCAATTAAGTAATGAAATTCGAGATACCACTTGCAGTCAGGTCATTCTCCACCTGAACTCTCTAACTATGCTTCCAATCGAAAACCTTCAAAGCTGGAGTGTTTTCATCCATCGGGAAGAGCCGTTGTCTCTGGATTCACTGAACTATCATAATGTCCCCGTATATCTCGCGCAGCTCATAGCTCCATCAGCTGTGGTACTCGCCGTCGCCAATGCGCAAAGGACCATAAATCTTCCGCAGAACTTTTTCTTTGAAAATTCGTAGCACCGACTTAGCAGATGTTGTCATTACACATATATTTATATGTGCACCATATAGCAGAGCTGAGATGATGAGTGGCTTATAGAGTTTATGAGGGGACTTTATTTCTCAATTGTCTGTTGGCAAGAGTTATTTTATAGGCTGATATTGTTGTTGGAGTTGATCCTGGTTCCAAGATAGATGAGGTATAATGTAATATAATCATTATTCTGGGTAAGTAGTTACAGTCGTTATGTTATATCCAATTCCAATTCTAAAATTATCTGAAATTAAGGTTCACAAAATGCCCTGAATTACTTAATAAAATTATCCCTTTTCTTTTCAAAGATGGTCGTGAAAATTAATGGAACAAGTTATGAAGTTAGGAATGACAAAGATATTTCAAAGCGTTCAACGAGAAGTATTATTT